GCAATTTGTCTTATAGAGTAAAGCTAACCGATCATACTGACACTGCTAAATTCTGGGCATCTAGGCATTAATGACCTTCATGAAAGGATTGGTTTGGTTTTTACATTGATCACTTTATAATGTAAATGGTCTCATTAATAGCTAAACATCAATTGACATATATCATGAGTGAAGGTAAGCTCAGGACAATCGTATGTACACAGACTTATGGTATACAACAGGCTTGATCACACAAAGATCTCATTAAGATTATGCACCTTTTGTCAACATCTGTGTTACTAACCACAAAGGCAAACTGTTCTATGCAACATTATAGTTTCCTCTTTCACCTTTTTATCAACTGTAGCCAACTAAAACACTGGAAAGCCTTTGTGGAAGATTGTGGGTGCTAAAAACTGATGAAAAACAAGTTCCTTGTAAACACAGGATATCTGGTTTGTGTTTTGTATACTCTGTAAATGACATTCTACATTAATGCAGAGACTCACTGATCAGCCAGAAACTGCAATGCGGAATGTGCAGAAACATCCATTTGAAGAATCAGTGTTATTGAGTAATGGTCTTGCAAATTTTCCCTACATATACAGTAGTTGTGTAGCCAACCCAGCAAAATTATGTGATTTCGGATGCCCAATTGTGAAATTAGTTTTTTTTTACCAGTGAATTTCAAGGCTTTCTACTTGAAATCACTTTTAGTTCTCCTTTTAAGAGGCTATGTAGTGGGCATTACTTAATGGGCCAAAGGTGTATCTCTTACCTGGCGAGTGTTTGTTATACCATTTTACAATCCAGCAGCTTGACAGGATTGCCAAGGGTGATTGAGGTCAGTAAAAGGTAACAAATTCAAATAGAGATACATTTTTTAGAAAAAAAACACCAGACCAACTGCATTACATGATATATCCTAAATGGCTGCTGTTTAGCTTTAGGCACCATGTATAGCACTTTAAAAATGTTTATCTCTTTTTCCTAGATTTCTGTCCAATTCAGTACTTATATATTTCTTTCTGCTATGTATTATGAATGATTAGATCTTAGGGGGTTAGATATTCTCAAAAGCAATGGGGTCAACATACTATAACACTACATCTCTTTTTTCTGCTACATCTGTACAGGTATAACTAGCGCTAACTAACTAACTAACTAAACTGTTATAGAGCATGTATGCTGGCAAAGTTGGCATTTTTGATACCTGGCAATGGTTTACAAGCACCTTAAAAAAGACCCTCTGTGCTGTTGATCATATTCGAGTGCTTTTTTCTCAGTGAAGATCCCCTATGAATTAAAAGCCAAATATTCATAACTACATATGAGCAAACTGATATACTACAGGCACACATTCTTACTCTACAGAGAATCACATCATGTAATGATCTTGGCAGTGGCCGATCACACAGTTCTTCACAGACCAATTGGATACATTAGTGGCATATTTAGGGGCCTTCTAATTTTCCTGAACAGTATCCAGTTACTCAAATCCCTTTTTATTTGTGACAAAATGCGAATAGATTTGCACACATTGGTAAACACATCTATTCTTGTTCATTTGTGCTTTGTTATGTTTTATATTCACATTTTGTGGGAAAACTACACAGTTTTTTTGCCAAAAGCATCCCGATTTGCTACCTTCATTACTTCAACTACCCAACATCAGAAATTGTATATAATATGAAACGTGTGACAACTATGATATTTTACTACATTTTGAATTACGTCTGTTTATGATCATACATACATCTAAGCTAACTTTTACTTCTCATTCCAGGTCTGAAAAAAAATACGACTCCAACTCTGGTAAGTTTAGAAAGCAAACTTTAAAAGAGAATGTAGCAAAGCTATGCATTAGTATGAATTGAGTGTGGTGTAAAAAATCTTATGTCCATTTGGTCAGTCTATCAGTTTTTTTTTATTCTTTTATTCATGGTTGAGTTTACAGATTTAAACTTTGAGGCTGTGTACCTAAAAGTAAACTAGTGGCCAGGCTATGGACATTCCAGTATTAAGATATTTCAACATGCATTAAATAAGCTCTAAAAACAAGCCCTTGCTGACCTCTGTAGCTGCAGGCACTGTGAAGCAATTCATCCCTCAAGTTAACTACAAAATAAAGCTCATTTACCGTTTGCTAACAACTATACATCTTCTTAAATATTTATAGCCTGATCACAGTCTGTTTTTTTAAGATCCTGTCTACTTGTGTTTCCATCTTTCTGGATATTGAACGATTTACCACAGTGTTCTAGGTCTTCAGCACTTAGACTTTGTATGTTTAGTGAGCATTCTTTACATATGCAAAATGACCTCTGACAAGGTATACTGAGCTTAATGAACATTAAAATTGCTTCACTTTGTGCTAAGCCTTCACTGATGCTGCAGGCTGGTTGTCCCCCCATCATTGGTAGAAGAGCACTACAGAGCCAGGTGTAGTGAACTAGAACCACATAAGCTTTAGAGCACACACCTGTGGCTATGTGGTTGAGAATTAAAGGTCTTCTAGTTTTACAGCTGAAAATAACATATGTAAAGGAAATAGATGAGAGCAGGTGAGATTATTATCAGAACAAATTTACTTTACCCAATTTCCCCTTCAACTCTTTCTTCTCATGAACCCATGCATTTACCATGTAAAAAATGCATTTGAAAATGTGTGATATCTAAATATATACTATTGGTTTCCTGTGTAATCAGCTATGTAGTATTCAGCATCTGTTCTTTACATATATTTGATATTAAAACAAGTTTGATTTAAAAAAAAAAGCATTTTGAAAAGCATTAAAGGCAATTCCAGCCAAATAGCTAATTACACAGTTGAAACACGTATATGAGAACTGTTTCACCTGCCAAAATATTTGTAAAGTGATGTATAAACCCTTATGAACCATGCACCTCCCTTGTGCTGTACAGCTACTTAGCATAAGGAGGGAAGACAGTCATTGTTAAGCACTAGCACTTTCATCAGCTTGCAGAACAGGTACAGCCACCTTCAACTTGTTGAAGTCTGGAGTCTTTTTGTATTATTCTAAAGGCAGATTTCCAAAAGATGTAAAGTTTAAAAGAGAAGTTTGGGATTGTTTTTTTTTTTTGCCAAATCATACTTACCTAGGTGGGTGCAGCATCAGCCCAATGCTGCATCTTTCCCCTGCCTGATCTAAGGGTGAGAACTCAGCAATCACAGGACCGCTGACCGCTGAACGCTGAGTTTTCACCACCACTGTGAGCAGAGAGCGATGACTGTCAGTCACCGCTGTTTGCTCTGCCCCCTTGTGTTCACTGGAGCGCTGGGATGTGAAGGGGAAGGGAGCGGGTAGCTCAGGCTTTCAGCAGCTCACTGAAAGACTCTTTGCTGGATCTTGACTTTAAAATCGGGATCTTTCCCCAGCCTGGACCAACTGAGTGATGTCAGCCGACAGCGGGCTTCATCCCACTGTCAGCTGAAAAGGGGTCACAGGAGTGCAGAACGCACTGCACTCCTGTGATCCACAGAAGTACAGCCAAAAGAGCTTTGGCTGTACTTCTCCTTTACCTAAAAAGATGGTTCCATGAGTTTTAAATACACAAGTTAATTAGAATGTGTATGTTATATTTTCTTGAAGTTCCACTTGAGGATAATCTTACCAAACCCCAAAACACTAAGTATTGTCCATTTTCTGTGTAACAAATTTTGAATCACAATTTTATTTTTAAAGCGAACCATCTCACAGTGTTTCCCATTTCTCAATAACAAGTCTTGCTTTATAGACCTCGAGCAAGGAATAAATTACATTAGTATTATTATTATTAATAATAATGTACAGGATTTAATTGCATGGTGCTTTACAAATTAAATAATATAAATATTATTCACATCATAATCTATAAGGTACCTGTCAGGGCTCCCAGGTATGACCAGAGATGTGTGACTGACGCAGGAAACGCAGACTTCAGATATGGGATAAACAATATAATTTATTAACACTAACAATACAAACAAACGCAGTGCAATACTAAACATAATACAGTGCAAACAAACCAAACCAACCACCCACAGATAACAGTACATACAAGCAAGCGTCGTCAGGCAGGCCGGGTCAATATCAATTGGGCAGGTAGGTACAGGGGAGCAAGCGGAGAATGGTCGGGGTCACAGGCCAGGTTCAGCAGGTAGCAAGCAGCGTAGTACAGAGGGTCAAGCAGAGGGATGGTCAGGGTCACAAGCCAGGGATCAGAACAGGTAGCAAGCAGCGTAGTACAGAGGGTCAGCAAAGGAACAGAAACAGGATGCAGGACAGATACAGGGCCCAGGACAAACACAACACCAAGGCAGAGTCTGCAAGTCTGGCCATCCCTTAAATACCCCAGCATAATCAGTTCCAGGTGTTAGCTGGCTGCAAAGTTGAGTCTCTGATTGCTGGGAGCACCCGCTGGCCAGCCCTGGTACTGCAGAGCAAAAGGCAGGTGAGTCCCCATTGCTGGCCAGTCCATTCCTGACAGTACCCCCCCCTCAAGGAGCGGCCTCAGGACGCTCCAAACAGTCCTAGCTGGGGAAAAATGTTCCACCGCCCGGGTCTGGTAACTGGCGGGATATCAAAGACTGGCACACCTGGCAGGACTCCGGGGCAGCGGTACACCAGGCAGAGGCACATCGGGCTGGACACCGGGCAGAGGCACATCGGGCAGAGGCACATCGGGCAGAGGCACATCGGGCAGAGGCACTCCGGGCAGAGGCACATCGGGCAGAGGCACATCGGGCAGAGGCACTCCGGGCAGAGGCACATCGGGCAGAGGCACTCCGGGCAGAGGCACATCGGGCAGAGGCACTCCGGGCAGAGGCACATCGGGCTGGACTCCGGGCAGAGGCACATCGGATTACCAGGCGAAGCAGCAGGCAGCGGGTCACCGGGCGGAGCGGCAGGCAGCGGGCCACCGGGCGGAGCGGCAGGCACCGGGCCCCCGGGCGGAGCGGCGGGCACCGGGCCCCCGGGCGGAGCGGCGGGCACCGGGCCCCCGGGCGGAGCGGCGGGCACCGGGCCCCCGGGCGGAGCGGCGGGCACCGGGCCCCCGGGCGGGGCGGCAGGCATCGGGCCCCCAGGCGGGGCGACAGGCATCGGGCCCCCAGGCGGGGCGACAGGCATCGGGCCCCCAGGCGGGGCGACAGGCATCGGGCCCCCAGGCGGGGCGACAGGCATCGGGCCCCCAGGCGGGGCGACAGGCATCGGGCCCCCAGGCGGAGCGGCGGGCGCCGGACCCCCAGGTGGAGTGACAGGTCTCGGGCCCCCAGGCGGAGCGACAGGTCTCGGGCCCTCAGGCGGAGCGACAGGTCTCGGGCCCTCAGGCGGAGCGGCGGGCGCCGGACCCCCAGATGGAGCGACAGGTCTCGGGCCCTCAGGCGGAGCGGCGGCGCCGGACCCCCAGGTGGAGCGACAGGTCTCGGGCCCTCAGGCGGAGCGGCGGGCGCCGGACCCCCAGGTGGAGCGACAGGTCTCGGGCCCTCAGGCGGAGCGACAGGTCTCGGGCCCTCAGGCGGAGCGACAGGCGCCGGACCCCCAGGTGGAGCGACAGGTCTCGTCGGGCCCTCAGGCAGAGCGGCGGGCGCCGAGTCATCTGGCACGACAGTGGGCTCTGAGTCAACTGGCATGACCGCTGGCACTGGGTCAGACATTGGATCGTCTGGCTGGACAGCGGCATCGGGTCACCCGGCATCAGGTCATTTGGCTCGACCGCGGGCACCGCATCATCTGGCAAGGCAGTGGGCTCCGAGTCAACTGGTATGACCGCTGGCACTGGGTCAGACATTGGATCGTCTGGCTGGACAGCGGGCATCGGGTCACCAGGCATCAGGTCATTTGGCTCAACAGCGGGCACCGCGTCATCTGGTAAGGCAGTGGGCTCCGAATCAACAGGCACGACAGTGGGCACCCGGTCATCAGGTACCGGATTGTCTGGCTCGACAGCGGGCACTGGGTCACCAGGCATCAGGTCATTTGGCTTGCCAGCGGGCACCGCGTCATCTGGCAAGGCAGTGGGCACCGGGTCACCAGGCATTGGATCGTCTGGCTCGACAGCGGGCATCGGGTCACCAGGTATGACAGCGGGCACTGGGTCACCAGGCATCAGGTCATTTGGCTCACCAGCGGGCACCGCGTCATCTGGCAAGGCAGTGGGCACCGAGTCACCAGATACGACAGCGGGCTCTGAGTCAATTGGCACGACAGCGAGCACCGGATCAGGTACCGGATCATCTGGATCAACAGCGGGCATCGAGTCAACTGGCCTAATAGGATCGTCAGGCTGGATCAGTTCATCATGCTGGGTAGAGGCATCAGGCTGAATGCCGGGCGGCCGTCCGAGTAGAGGCTTCAGGCCGAGTAGAGGCTTCAGGCTGAACCACGGAAGGCAGGTTCACCAGTTTGGATACTGGCAGGATGGTATTGGTTGGAAAGAATTTTCGCTTTTTTCTGGTTTTAACTACTGGAGCACTGCAAGTAAACGCAGGTCTGCAAACGAATGGAGCAGCTGGAGACAGAGAAGAACTGGAGGATGGAACAGGAGAGGGAGCAGTTGCTACAGAGGGCTTTTTTACAGGGTTAAAGGCAGGATAGGTGCAGCGAGTGGGAACAGGGTACTGACATGCGGTAGATAGCCAAGTATACTGAACTAAAAACTCTTCCTGCGCCTAGTGAAACACCCTACTATAGGTTCTATCCTGCTGCTGTGCAATGTGATCAACACAAATAGTAAAAAATATATAAACAGCGCAAACATAGACCTCTATATCAAATCAATATACAAAGTGCAAACATATATAAAAAATTAAATAAATAGTGAAGTCCATCAAAATTAATAAACACAAAATTCAAAAATAGTTTGTGCAAACAGAAATTTTCAAATTCTTCTTCTAATTATAAAGAAACTTCCACCTTCCACCCGTGAAAACCAACATCAAATGCACTCACCAGATTAAGGTGAATGAAACGCCTTTTAGGAATTTATGGGATCCTAAACCCTCTTTGGTATCCACTCTATAGGAATCCTCACCTCCAGCATAGACTCCACCATCCAACCAGGGAGAAAAAAACCCAGATAGTGTAATATTGCAAAACACCATTCATAAGTGAAATCAAGGATTAAGGGCCACTCACATTATAATCGCTTTAAAAAGGCATGTTTATTAAGACCAGCTTCTTTCCAGATGAACAGTAGATGTAAGGCAACCTCTCACAGAATCTCACATCACAGCTCCAGGTTACAGCAGAAGCTCCACAGAGAGACCACACATATACAGATCCCAAAAGATGGCCGCTGGAACGCACCGCTCAGCGTGCGCTCCACTCACCGGAAGTGACGTCAGACGTACGGGGTAGTAACCGGAAATGCGTCAACGCGTTTCGCCCCTCCCATCGGGCGTTCTCAAGAAGGTCTTGAGAACGCCCGATGGGAGGGCGAAACGCGTTGACGCATTTCCGGTTACTACCCCGTACGTCTGACGTCACTTCCGGTGAGTGGAGCGCACGCTGAGCGGTGCGTTCCAGCGGCCATCTTTTGGGATCTGTATATGTGTGGTCTCTGTTGAGCTTCTGCTGTAAACCTGGAGCTGTGATGTGAGATTCTGTGAGAGGTTGCCTTACATCTACTGTTCATCTGGAAAGAAGCTGGTCTTAATAAAACATGCCTTTTTAAAGCGATTATAATGTGAGTGGCCTTAATCCTTGATTTCACTTATGAATGGTGTTTTGCAATATTACACTATCTGGGTTTTTTTCTCCCTGGTTGGATGGTGGAGTCTATGCTGGAGGTGAGGATTCCTATAGAGTGGATACCAAAGAGGGTTTAGGATCCCATAAATTCCTAAAAGGCGTTTCATTCACCTTAATCTGGTGAGTGCATTTGATGTTGGTTTTCACGGGTGGAAGGTGGAAGTTTCTTTATAATAGAAGAAGAATTTGAAAATTTCTGTTTGCACAAACTATTTTTGAATTTTGTGTTTATTAATTTTGATGGACTTCACTATTTATTTAATTTTTTATATATGTTTGCACTTTGTATATTGATTTGATATAGAGGTCTATGTTTGCGCTGTTTATTTATATATTTTTTTAGCCAAGTATACTGGGCTGTAACTGGGGAGCTGTTGGGAATACAGGAGAAGAGTTAGAAGCAGGACTGGGTTTTTGTAAGCTGACTGAGGCTGGGTGCAACAAGTCTGTCCATGTCTGCAGTAGGGGTTGAACAAAGCTGAGCTTACACAAAGCCTGTCTGGTCAATGACTGCACTGCGTTTATACAAACTCTTAGTGTCTGTGGTGAACATGTGGAATAACGCTCCAGAAAGTAACACACATCATCTTCTAATAACCACACCAGGGACTCTACCTGGTCTGCACTAAATGGTGGCAAAAATTCATCCCTGCATTCGGGGGAACCAGATGAAACCAACTCTGCACAAACCTCAATCAAAGGCTGCACCTCAGAGAACTCTGTGCCCTGATCTACTAGAACATGAGCGAGCCGTATACATTCTAGCAGTTCATCCCGGGGATACTCCTTCAGAGTTTGATAAGCATACTCCCTGTCATCAAACACTAGCAGAGATAAATACTCAACCTCATCCAGATCCATCCTTCCCATCAACAAACCAAGATGGCTTCCCTGTGCAGCCACTTCTGGTCAGGATTGGCCTTGGTGTAATGTCAGGGCTCCCAGGTATGACCAGAGATGTGTGACTGACGCAGGGAAACGCAGACTTCAGATATGGGATAAACAATATAATTTATTAACACTAACAATACAAACATAAACGCAGTGCAATACTAAACATAATACAGTGCAAACAAACCAAACCAACCACCCACAGATAACAGTACATACAAGCAAGCGTCGTCAGGCAGGCCGGGTCAATATCAATTGGGCAGGTAGGTACAGGGGGAGCAAGCGGAGAATGGTCGGGGTCACAGGCCAGGTTCAGCAGGTAGCAAGCAGCGTAGTACAGAGGGTCAAGCATAGGGATGGTCAGGGTCACAAGCCAGGGATCAGAACAGGTAGCAAGCAGCGTAGTACAGAGGGTCAGCAAAGGAACAGAAACAGGATGCACCATTGCTGGCCAGTCCATTCCTGACAGTACCATTTGTGCAAGTGAACTCTGATGACTAGCTTTGAAACTAATGGGGTTAACTGGGCTTAATTAGTTAGATTTAAAACTGAACTCCAGGCAAACAGATAAAATACATTCATAAAAACAGAAAAAAATACACAAATAAAATACATATATGAAAGCTATTTTTACCCGTTTGTCTATTCGTTCCTGAAATGAACACAGCATTGCCTGACTACAAAGCCAGCCTAGAGAACTGACATTCTCTATTGCAGTTAAAAGGACAATACAGTCCACAGAAACTAGCAGCTATATAGTAGGTCCCCTTCACCCATCCTAAATTGCTACAGTCTCCTCACCCATTACTCGCCCCCCCGATTCTAGCAGTTTTGCCTAGGCAAGGTTGAGGTCACAGGGAAATCTAAGAATCCCAAATCCTTGGTCTCCTACAGAAATTACCCATGACTTTCATCTTCTAAAGGTTTTACTTGGTAGATAAATAACAATCAGTGAATATATCATTGTATGTTATCAAAAATACTTTAGTAATATTCCTTCTGCTATAATGTACACTTAGGTGCACACAACAAACTAATGAAATTGCATAATATCTAGGCCCTTGTTGACTTAAACAATAAGGGTCATGAAGAACGAGTTAATATGCGGTTAATAAGAGAGTGGCAACTGGAATATCTAGTAGTTACAGATCTAATCCATGGAAAACCTCTCATACTGCATAGGGATGCATAGAAGCAAGGAGGGGGGCCTGTACAGATATTTAGATTCACTCTAAGATTTTGTTTAAAAAAAAAATGTTGAACAAAATAGTTTGTTTGTTTTTTACCTTAGTTAAATTTTTTTCTCATATATATTATTGAAGATGAAGCAGTTTTCTCTTGATTTACTTATTTATAATGTCTCTATTGTCTTGTTTATTTTGCTGATTAGTCAGCATAAATATTTGTATAATCTACATCAGGAGGTACATTGCCTCATGCATAGTAAAATAGATTATAGAAAGAATATTTGTCAAGTATTGTGCTTGTCCAATTTATTTTGAATCTGCTAAACTATTTAGACTCTATTGAACTGCAAGTTTTTGAGACTGATGAACAAATGTGTCAAAATGATCATGTGCTAGGTTTCTTTCACTCTATGGCCAGGTCATACAGGGTAAAGCAACATGTTGGTATCAGGCACCTACTCCTACCAATCTCATATCACAAATTCACTTTCCCTGTACAACTCTATTTAGCCACCATGAATAAAGGAAATACCTGGTACTTCCAAGTATGGACTCACTCCCCATCATCTTATGGACTTGAACTTGGTGGTTATTCCAGTGCTGTCACAACTAGAGAGACTTGGATCTTACATAGGGGATTTGTTTCTTCACTTTTGGGAGCTAAACAGAGTAGCAGAACAGTGACGGAAAGGTGAATATGTGCTGATTGGAAGGGTGGTATTATAGTGTATATGAAGCCAAAACAATGTTTTTTTAGTTTTGGCGTAGGTACCCTGTCAATTTTCTACTGCTGTCTGAGTACCCGTTAGGGAGGTTCACCCTTTCCATTTGTCCTGATGCCCACAATCAAAAGGACTAAAAGTGAGAAAAATCCCAAATTTTGAGTTTCCACTAAAACAGCAATGAAAGTGACGTAGATGCAGAAAAAAGGAAAAAATGGCAGCAGTTTAAACTATCCCTCCATCTCCTGCTTTATTTAAAGCAGCATGGATAAAGCACAGATTTGCTTTAAAGATTACCAAACGCTACCAAAACTTAAAGTTTACATGTAGTAATTCAATTTGCA